AAAGACCAATTTCAAAATGTCATTGCAGCAATGGTCTTTCCAACTAAAAAGATCCTACACCAATGAACGCAAACACTGCCGCATAATCAAATTTAATTTAGCCATGTTATCCAGATTTGGACCTGGAGAAATCTATATATGACGATCACTACAGAAGGAAGCTGTTTGCTAACGAGATATCTAGATATTACTTTATTTCATTTCAATGGCACTTTTTTTATCTACATCATTGCGAGACAATTAATAGAATGGAGAGATGAACATTTCAACTATGACCTTTAACTATGCAACTGCGGTACAGTTAGAAAATGTAAAGAAAATTTTCCTTAGTCTCCTCAAGTATTTCACTAATCTTTGACAAAGTTCTTCATTGATACTTAAGCGACTCTCAACGAGCGAAGTCAAGTTATTCTTAACTAGTTCCGCATATGTGCTTGCACAATAATCATAAAACTCTTTACTAGCCCTTAATCGAAGAGCACTTTAACTTATGATAAGGATCATTTGTTATTGACCTGAAAGGAATCTAAATTGATTATCATAATGTTCAACTACCTACCAAACTCAACAGTACCAAGCTCAGAGTTCAGCTGCAATTCGGAAGATATGCGATGTGCCTTTGATATTCTAAAAATTCAATTTATACACACACCCAATTGTGCTAAATTTCGTTGCCCTTTGAACTGATGAGCTTCTTGTGTTACTCGGAATTTAACATAAATAGCTCCACACAATAGAATCACTCAACATCACTAAGCCTTAACTTCTCGGGACTCCCTGATTGCTTTATTAGGAAGCCAGCCGATTATTTCCTTTCTTTACATTTTCCATTAAAAAAAAACCATAGTGAAATCACTGCCTCTACAATTGACGTCAAAACTCTTTGGGGCAGTTATTGAAAAACATATTCTATATCCAAATATCATACACAGAGCCTTTCTATCCCCTCTAGCAATGTTGGTAAAACTAAACAGTCACCTCGTCTTGGTAAATTTTACAAAGCGCACAAAATTCAACATTGTTAAAAGCGAGAGGGGGGGGGGGATTTTAGTAATATCGCGCTAAGTGTCGTAAGAGTTTTGATCTCCATTGTAGATTTTTTATACTTGGCATACTCGGTTTTCAGGACAGGTTTCAACAAGTCACCTGATCTTTTTTTGGAGAATCTAAAGAAATTCATATAACTTCGGCCTACTTATAAGGGGGAGCTCAAAGTACCGCAACAGAAAATACCTATATCTAGAGACATCAAAGACATCCATGAAATCGATAAGGTACAAAGGAGAGCTTCAATTCGGGAATCGCCTTAGGCAAAAGACGAGAAGAGATGGCGTATGAGGACGTATAAAACACTAAAATGGAACTCTTTAGAACGAAGAAGGAAATTCTATCCCTGGTGGAGTGCTAGAAGATCGTAATCAATCTCAATGGTCTGAATTTCAGAGATTTTTTTGAACTGTGCAGAAGCACTGAGACGAAATCCAACCATCAATGTAAGATACAAACCAAAATCGCAAATTTAAACTGTTTTAGATATTGCTTCTTTGTTAAGGTAATCAAATTCTGGAACGACCTTCTAAAGTAACGTAATCAATTGCCGTGATAGTGCAAATACCAACAAGTTTAAACTAAGATTGAAGAAACACATGAATGAATATTTATATTTATTGAATGGACATTTTATAAATTTTAATGATATCTCTGTGATTTTTATATATATATTTTTATAAACTTCCTTCTATATATATATTTTTTATTGTTCTATTTCTATAGTTTCTTTTCTATTCAGGAGATCCTTTATAGAGCGTTAATCTCTGGGTTTCCTTTTTCTCAATAACAGTGCTTAGTATAACAGTGCTTGTTATTTTTGAAATAAAGTATTGTATAGGACGTCGCATTACTGCACAAAAAGTTGACGAAACACCGACGTGACACCGCACTGCGTCTCTGCCATGCATCCGTGATTTACAATCCTAACAGAACAGCTGACAAAACCATTCTAAATAATTGTAAGCATTGAAGAGAAAGTCGATTTTCTATTGATCGTCTTGGTCCAACTGGACTCGATACTGAGTAAATTCAGTTTTAGCGCCCCTTCTTCTGGATTACAGTAACGAGTTTGACGGGTTTGGTCTCTCTTTTACAGCGCTTGCT